AGATATACTGGCAGACCACAAAAAGGTGGACTGACGGAAGAGACTTTATATATACAGATCTATCGTTTGAATGCAGAAACAGAATACCGTTAATGGTAGCCTTGAAACAAGATCCTCTAAGTCTAACGTTACAAATTATTATATTAAGTTGATATCGGAATCTTTCTGCCTCTATCGAGGTTCCCATGTGAAGAAGCATGCAGAACCTGATGAAGATAGCGGCAGACCCGCGAAACAAGTCGCCTGTTCTGAGACGTTTCGACTGTCACTTTGATACTTGTGAGTAGATAACTTTCTGAATAATCCTCGTAAAATATGCAGACCACTCTCCGTTCTTATCTTTTCGACGTGCTTAAATCTATGACAGCTTCAATGATTAAATGACTGAGTGATTTGCTATTTTATTAAGGCGGGTCGTGACGTAACGACTGATATGATAATTTAACAAAGATTAATGAAAAATGAAAATTCCACGTGATAAATTCAGCTGAAATGCTCTATCTCTGCGTATATTATTATATTCCATATGCATTTCTCCGTAATTATAGAATAATTTTTTACTTATTCTGATTATCGTACAAATTTGTTTAGTGTACCATCAAGAATCAACAAAGGAACAAGTACTTAACCTTATGGAACAGCGCCGACCTTGAGAAGCTGACAATCGCTCAGCTGGTCAAGAAGTGTGTATGAGAAACATCTGTAACAAAATGGATAGGATGGGACACATCTTCGAAAGCAGTATCAGGGATTATACTTTTGAAAGATATGACAACCATTTGATTCAGATAAATCTCTAATCTAATCACAACATACCTTTATTTATCCAGAACTTAGTCACAACATTCCCGTGCAAAATCTTAATGTAAACTTGAAATCCAAACGACATTACATTTTTTCGGAAATATCGTAAAAAATTCGGACAGCCACTGTTGTATTTGAAACTGTTTATACGTAAATAATACAATTTTTTGTTTCTTAAATGAAGACACACCGAGTGAATAGAGTTTTGGTAAAGATACTGCCACGTAGAATGCAGCCTGAAATTTCCATACCGCTCCAATTACGCATTTCTCATTCTGATTCTAAATTATCTTATTTTTAGGCGTGTTCTATTCCTTAAATCCGCTTGTTAAAATCGCTCTGTTTAACTCTCCGTCTGCGCATCTAGAAACAAGAGAATGAATCAACGGTTATTCCTGATATTTAACAATGAATTTTACCTAAATTTGTCGACACATTCTAATTTGTTCAAAATCTGATATCAAAGGGCGCATTGCTCCTTCAGGACCTCCAAACAATTCTGCGTTTCAGAATGTCAGGTTGAGGAATCCGAAGTCAGGGAATTCTCAACCAACGACAAAGATTGAAGGTCAAGTCTGTCGAACGTGCCAGAATTTTTAGGTTATGGACAAATTTATTTATTTTGTAGAATTTCTTGGGGCAATTTTCGTTGTAGATTTATAAGTATCCGATTTATTCAATATAAATAAAATCATGAGGGCTTTTCGCTGTAAGCATTATAAGCGTTAACTTATTTCGGAGAAGCTGACAATCGCTCAGCTGGTCAAGAAGTGTGTATGAGAAACATCTGTAACAAAATGGATAGGATGGGACACATCTTCGAAAGCAGTATCAGGGATTATACTTTTGAAAGATATGACAACCATTTGATTCAGATAAATCTCTAATCTAATCACAACATACCTTTATTTATCCAGAACTTAGTCACAACATTCCCGTGCAAAATCTTAATGTAAACTTGAAATCCAAACGACATTACATTTTTTCGGAAATATCGTAAAAAATTCGGACAGCCACTGTTGTATTTGAAACTGTTTATACGTAAATAATACAATTTTTTGTTTCTTAAATGAAGACACACCGAGTGAATAGAGTTTTGGTAAAGATACTGCCACGTAGAATGCAGCCTGAAATTTCCACACCGCTCCAATTACGCATTTCTCATTCTGATTCTAAATTATCTTATTTTTAGGCGTGTTCTATTCCTTAAATCCGCTTGTTAAAATCGCTCTGTTTAACTCTCCGTCTGCGCATCTAGAAACAAGAGAATGAATCAACGGTTATTCCTGATATTTAACAATGAATTTTACCTAAATTTGTCGACACATTCTAATTTGTTCAAAATCTGATATCAAAGGGCGCATTGCTCCTTCAGGACCTCCAAACAATTCTGCGTTTCAGAATGTCAGGTTGAGGAATCCGAAGTCAGGGAATTCTCAACCAACGACAAAGATTGAAGGTCAAGTCTGTCGAACGTGCCAGAATTTTTAGGTTATGGACAAATTTATTTATTTTGTAGAATTTCTTGGGGCAATTTTCGTTGTAGATTTATAAGAATCCGATTTATTCAACGGAAATAAAATTATGAGGGCTTTTCGCTGTAAGTATTATAAGCGTTAACTTCTTTTATTTAATTCAACAAACAGTTTGATTCCTAGCAAACTAAACGACTCGTAGCAAAACGTTTATTTATGTAGGCGGAAACATTGGTACATATATCACCTTCTCTCACAATTAGCCTTGAAACGAAAGACAGTCTACACTAGAGTTCTTTATTTAGATCTGTGTAATATACAGTTATAGTGAGCATGCTCTCACCAGTTCATACGTATTTTAGTAGTAAGATAGCATAATCGTTTTGGCCAATAAATACAAAACTTTAGTAGTCTACGTTTCATTTCTGATATCTTTATCCAGTGATATCTCTCAACGTTCGCTCTGATATTTCACACATTCCTTCCGACATCATCTGTCCAGTCCCCTAACCTAAGTGCAGCAGTAAGCACATCCCTGCAATATGGGACATTTCCTACGGATTCGCAAGTGTTGTTTTTGCTGTGGCGGCCTACGGGGAGGTTCAATCGCCATCGGAGTCTTCTACCTGGTACAGTGCCTATATATAGCATTACAATTAATCAGTGTGCCAGCCGGCATGATCGAATTAGCATTTGTTTCTTAGTTACGGGCGTTTTGGTAGTGCATTACACTGACCCTCCTGCGATTTCGGAATGGCGTGTGCATCAAATTTTGCCAAAGCCTCGCCAAAACGGCTACGGAAACCTATGAAATGCTACAGCAAGCATTTGGGGAGTCCGCAATGGGTCGTGCACAAACTTTTGTGTGGCATTAACGTTTTAAAAATGGCCGAATCTCTGTCGATGATGACGAGCGTTCTGGCCGACCATCTTCGAGCACAACGCCCGAAACTGTTACGAAGATCGACGTCGTACCATCAACGACTTGTGCGACATTGTTGGGATAGGCTATGGGGCCTGTCAGCTGATTCTAAAGGAAGAACTCCACATGCGACGCATCCTGTCTGAGGACCAGAAGCAGAATCGACTTGACTTCTCGTTTGTCAGGAGCTCAAAGATCTTGCAAGAACCGACCCCAACTTCCTTTCTAAGCTCCGTGTGACTTCTTCCTCTTCCCAAAGATGAAAATTCAGTTAAAGGAAAGGAGATTTGAGACGATAGAAGAGATTCAAGGAGAATCGCAGATGGTGCTTGACAGGCTGACAAAGAATGATTCCCAGGGATGCTTCCAGGCTTGGCAGCGGCGCTAGGATCGTTGTGTTCACTCCCAGGGGAACTACTTCGAGGGTGATGGATGAAAATTAATACCTGAGATAAGTGTACGGGTTTTTATACGCGCAGTCTTGAAACGTTCCGATCGCACCTCGTAATGTACGTGTTTATCCTCGGAAAGCTATTCTGGAAGATTGTGGTTTCGATTTTCAGCCCACCGTCAGAATATCCTAATTGCTTTCGTCACTTTCTGAAGCCAAATACTTCGACAATGTTCTGTACAAAAAGTGGCAAATGCATTCGGACGGGTTTCTATTGAACAATCATACAGTGTTTACTCAAAAGAATGGTGCGGTTTCAATAGTTAATAAAATATTTATTTGTCACCTCACACGGACACAACATACACCGTCAGCGGCGGCAACTGACCAAGTTTCTTATGCATTAATTACAATCCTTCAAAGTGTGGACCCTGGGTCACACGACACACATCCACACGGTAATCAAACTCATCGCATCCAGCGCTGTGGAAAAACACGATTGAGAAGCGCTCGTACATTCCTGTGAAAACGGGGGGGAGTTGGGGTAACAACCAGCTTTCCAACGTGTCCAAAAATGAGTCGCCAGTCACAGTTGCACCGTTCTTTTGTGTATACACTGTATTTACTGTACGTGTTTTAATTTGCAGTCAAATGTAAGATGCAGGGGCCTGAACATAACACGATTACACAGCGAGTTCTAAGATAAATCGGAACGCAACTGTCACTTCCCGGCTCCCAGCAGGAAGTGCACGACTCACGGCCAAGAGCCAACAATAATTATTCGCACACCACTGCAGCTGTGTCTAACATCACGTGAAGTAATTGTCACTGTTATTTGTGGAAATGGTTCGATTTTCTGTTTAACTGCGTATTTTTCCGTACGAATCTTATGAGAAATATGTTGTTGCCAGGAAGTGTAAGAGATAATTTGGTTGTTAAGTTCCGAGGACCACATTTCCAAGCACAACATGCGTCCAAAAACTTATTAATAAATTCTGGTCTACTGAATCACTTCTGGACAAGAAACCTACTAGGAACGGAGCGTACTTAACGAGGAAAAATGAGACGAAATAGTTTCTGCGTTGGAAGACACACCACAGCAGCCCTAATCATCAAAATACTCGAACAGGGGACCGGAAACTAGAAATTGCTAGCAGCCAAAGCGGTGAATATCACCTTATTTAAATGGTACTGATTGTGTGCACATACACAAGAACGTAACTTTCAGCGTCTCTTGTAAAAACGTGAAGTTGGTTTTGTTACTTTTATGAAGCGATATTTGTTTGACATGTATCGGGGAAAATCTCTTAGCGCTTGGCGATGAGCCATGCAGTTTCTCCCGGGAGCCTGGAAGTGAAAGTTGCGTTCCAATTTATCAGCGGATTCACAGTATTTTGGAACATCTGTTCTGTCATCTGTTAATCACGGTTAACCTCTTTTTAAATATGTTAACCAAGTTATCAAAGACAATAAAATCTATTTTGGGAATATTGTATTAGGCCCAATTATTTCAACCATCTACAAAACGAGTTAGCAGTGGATATTAATTATATTTTTAATGTAATTGGCACACGTTCCGACAAGAAACTGTTATCATCAAGCCAAGCTTTATCGTAAAATGAATGTACTGTGCAAACCTTTTGTCATATAACAATAAATAAAAATGGAGCAAATTACGTTTCAGTTTGTACAATGTTTCAAATTAATGTCGTTTTTAGCAAATCTACTGTGTTTTATAGTATTTCATATATATTACATATGTTTATTTTTACGTAGACATAAAATTGTCATAAAATATGTAATTTGTAACTATAATATAGGTTAATATTATTCACATTAAAAACTTCAGAATTATTAACAAGCGTAAAATTTAAAACTAAGATCCATCTAATCTCAACGATAATAAAGCCTGGAACTTTATCTTCAAGCACTCTTTGTATTGCGTGTTACTTTGGCACAAGGGAATCTTTGCTACTTTTTACTTCAATTAGACCGTTCAAAAAATGTTGGTCATTTCTTGTTATGGGCATGAAAGTAAGTTTAATATATAGATTTTGGGGTACTAAACAAGGAAATAGTGCTCAAATTGGCAGATTGGCTCTTGTTTTCGAAAAAAATAAAACTAGTTTTTCATATTTATGCAAGATATTTTTTAGTTATATGGCAGTAAATCATAGCTACGATATATCTTTGTCAAACACGGCTTGTATTTAGCTACTGAAGCATTCCTTTTTACCATCCAACAATAATCTGCTAACATGGCGGCACTCCATTTGCTTTTTTATCTTGGCTCCATCGCTGAGATGTTTTGATGGAAGCGCTCACCATGTTCGTCGCTGAGGACACCGCAGTTTGACTGGACGAAATCCAGGTGTGAGTGCAAGAAATGTATCTTAAATGAAATGTTTTCCAGATGAAGTCAATGAATTCACCTTCTGTTTGATAGAATTTATCACAGTCTTTATTTCGAGTATGAAATGTTGTCACTTTCACAGAATGATCTAGAAGATTCCACTGTTGTAGCCTCGAGGCCAAAGGCTCTGCCTTATTCTTCGGCAGTTCGAGATCCCTGATTAAGTCATTAAGCTCACTTTCTGTGATCTTATGTAGTTTAGAAGGATAGAGGCTTCTACAAAGTGGTGGATCCCTTGACGTAGACGGCTGCTGCACTTCTTCGTATATACCAATCTCAACATGAACATCATCAGTGTCTTCATCTTCATCAGAGTCTACAGAAAAACTTTCGGGTGGTTCAGGAATAGGTAGTAGTTCACTGTGAGGCACGGGGCGAATTGCAGATGGTATATTTGTGTACGCCAATGTCCACTTTATATTCATTGTCACCCCTTTTCGAACAGCAGGCACCATACAGAAGTCACAGTTTGTGATGTGATTTGTTGGCTCCCTACATACCATAGGCACTGCGAAAGGCACACAATGTCCCTTACATTTCAAACGCGTTGAGTTCTGATGAACAGGTAGTGCAGCGTATGTGTGGAGCCCAGTTCTTGTCCTGGTCGCCTACTTTACACCCAAAGTACAATTCGTAAGCCTTTCTTATGGCTTAGTTAACGTACACTTTCTCGAAGCAAATGTGACTTGTTCACATACGCAATAGAATTTATCAGGACTATTCACACAATTACGAGGCATCTTTCACGACACAAATACTGCCCAAGAAGTAGGAATCTCACAGAGAACCATTAACTGAGAACAAACCACCCAGTACCTGGCCGGATTCGAGGAAGAGTTGAAGGTGCATTTGAGGCGACAACAACTTATCACGTAATGCAGAGCGGGGTGACTGTTGATGGTCACGTTTTAAGAGCGCGGTGGTACTATAGCTGATAATAATGCAGAGAAAATCGCTAATATGAGACCTCAACCATAATTCGAGAACGGGAGCCAATCGACAAATTTTAATGAGATTTTTGCGTTCAGCAGCCTAAAATTAGTGAAGATTGGTTAGTTTCGTTTTCATAACATTTTACGTGTTGACCAGTGTTATCGATAGCGACATGGTAATATGTTAGTAAATATATCAGTTTACGTTAAAATCTGGGCTGTTTCACAGCTGACTACGTTGTATGGCGCACCCTTAGATGACATGATATACCCTGGATTGACAACCGGCAGCCCCTACATCTCCTACAGTAAGCTAGGACCCTGTGGTAAGTAAAGTGCACAGAGAATATACTATTTAAAGGAGGATTTGAGGTTTTCACGGCGGGGATTCTGAAGATGGCTGTCTTCTGTACACATTTTGAGGCTACTCATTCACTCTGCTGTGCAGGACATTTTTGAAAAGTCGATTGTATAGTAGTTTTGTCAAAGAATAGCCCACTTTCTATATGAAACCCGAAGGTTCATCATCGTGTTCACAAAAGTCCACCACCAGACCCATCCAAAGCCAGCTGCATCCAGTTCGCTCCATCGATTCCTATTTCCCTAAGATCAATCTTAACGCCATCCTCCCAACTACACCCAGGTCTTTCCAGTTGTCTCCTCCCTTCAGGCCTCCCAAACAATACCTTCGAAACACCCCTCCGTTCTCCTCCCCATGCGTGCTGCATGTCCCGCCAACCTTATCCTCCTAATTTAATCGCCCTAACAATATCAGGTTAGGAGTACAGGTTTTGAAGCTCGTCATTATGTGATTTTATCCATGATCCGTCTTCCTTCCATTAGATCTAAATATCCTCCTCAACACTCTGTTCTCAAAGATTCTCAAAGTGAGGGATCAAGTTTCGAACACATACAGCGCAACTGGCAAAATTACACTTTTGTAAATTTTAATCTTTCGTTCTTTTTTTATATGAGACGGGAGGACAAAATATTTTGGACTGACTGGTAGCAAACATTTAGGGGTCAGTGGGTAATGCCTGTCAGGCACTTTTCTGACGAACGGTACCAGATGGAAGCTTCAAGCTGGTGCTTACATCCAGTGCTTGATTCAGTGAAGTTCAACAGCGAATTCGGCCATTTGCTTCTGGTGCAGTTACCGAGATAGTTGCATGTATCTGTTTTGTGTTCCAGTAATCTAATACTTTACATCGAAATATCTGAGGTGAGTGAACTTCCTTTGAATTATATGAATATTTCTTGGGAGTGTACATAACATGCGAGAGTTGGATATTATAACTGCGTAGATGGTTAAGAATAAATATGTGCTAGTTCACGGCAACACGCCTTTCGTTTGAGGTTATTCGTTTGGGGTAATGGCGGTCAAGAATCTCCATTACCTACGGTGGGTCCACGGCACATTGCAGAAAAAGCAAAGGCAAGCAGCATTCGGAGATTCTGACAGGGACACCCATGAAGGGTTCTTTAGAAAGCAAAGCATTAAAGAAAAATGCAAGAGCACAGAATTAAAGTAGGCAAACAGCAGTATTTCCGAAGAAAATGCAGAATAAGGAAACAAGCCTCCAAGAGAGAAAGAAACGCTGCAGGAAGAATCCGAAAAAAGCTTCATCAGAAGAGGACACCGACATAAACGATCAAAATATTCTTGACGAAAATGAAGATGATGACATAGAAACAGATTTAAAAAATATTTAATTTGTGAAAAACTTGAGAAAGACAGAGAACTTTGGTATAGATGCACAGGCTGTGGTATCTGGGCACATGCAGAATGCAGTGGCTGGGAATTTGCGGACGGTTATCTTTGTGTTCTGTGTTTGAGAAGAAGAAATGCAAAATGAAAAACATTATTGAAGACTTCTATCTTAATATTCCGTTAGAACTTGTACGTTCAGATGATATAGACGTGTACACATTTTGTAAACTATGATATATGCCTATTACTTACTAAGAAACACATTTTATTCATTCATTATCTTATTTACTTCAGTGACATCTTGAAGGTCAAATAGTGACCGTCATTACCCCCAAGGGTGGGGAATACCGGTCAAAGCTACGTCTTCAGTTATCATTTCCTACAGATCTTTTGTTACGTTCAACGTGTTTTATGCTGCATACTTAAGAAGTAGACCCTTCAGACTAAATACCAATTTATGTAAAGTTTAAACTTCGCGTATACCTTTCGTTTTATCTAGCTTTACTCTTAAGTGACCGCTATTTGTCCATTCTCCCTAGTAATAACACGTATTTTAGTAATACACGTGCCAGACACTACGTACAATGCTAACAAGGACATTGTAAATATATAGAAATAAGAAACTAACAACAAAATTATGTATAAGAGAGTAGAAAATTAAATAAATATTTAGAAATTTCACCGTGTTCAACTTGCTGATCAAAGACGTATAAAAATGAAATTCATGTACATAGCTGGATGTACACATAAATGCAGAAATATAACGTTTTTACCTATTTGATACATAAACCGAGAATGATAGTTGAAGCGGCTATAGTTATAGTAATCATATTTAAAATGTATTCAGATCCACAGCTACGTCATGATGTAATGTGCCAACGTAACACATAAATTTTAACAGTGTAATTACGCAAAAGAACATTCTGTAATTCACGATGAAATAACAGGAGAGAACAATAATCGATTATGGCATCATCATTGCAGGAGATAACACAATGTATGTAGAATTAAATCAATCGTCAGTGTCTAAAGAATCTCTCAGTAAGTCTTAAGAAGAGATGTTCAAAAGTGTTTACTGATATCAGTAAATTCAAGATACAGGAAGTGCCATGAGGGCTGAACAGTTTGCAAGATTATTTGTAATTTATTTATGGCTTATTTAATGACAACCAATACCAATAACTCTTTTAAATAGTGTTAAATGATTTGATGACAATGAACTGAAAAGGATGTGGGAGGAAGCTGTCATTACTTAATATAAGGTATCCCAGCATCTGCCTCAAGAGAATAGGGAAAACCACAAGAACCGTGTCAGGATATTTGGTCACCACGCTGATATTTGAACCCAAGATCTCCCACATATATAGGAGTGCTGAACATTCAGCCATGATGTTTGGTGTCACAAGATGACAATCACTTTGAAGCAGCCCACAAAAATCTGTTCTGCACTGCACAGCGTAAAACGCACCTTGTACATAGTAGAACAGATAGGTGCCAGGTCAAGCACTAGAGGAAAGCTGACATGGCGTGACATCTTGCGAAACATGGTGCGATGCACTTGGAACCTCTTGAGGTGCAGGATCAGCACTGCAGGGGGGCTTTTAACCAAAAGCTGCTTTGTGGAGTTTGTGCACACCATCTTGCCTTCCTTACCTGTGCAAATTAAAGTAACAATGACAGATGACAGATCCTGTCTGACAATGTAAAAACATTGACCCTAGCAGGCTGTTTTCTCACACAACAAATTTATATCAGATTCAGACATATTTAATGCTTTAAATTACCCTGATTATGGCACTGGGTGCACTTCTCACAGCCAACCTTGTTGTTTCCAGTCATAAGCTCAAGCGCAGTGAACTGGTTCAGACACGACTGGATAGAGCACTCTCCATCATCACATTGGTACCTTGGTAACAATGTTGCACTCCAGCTAGCTACCCCGCCAGTTGACCGCACTTCACTGGCCGTCACCCCACTTGAGCACACCTCATCAGCTACTTCCCTATTTGACTGCGTCTCGCAGGGTGCCTGTGCAGTTGACAGCACTTCACTGGTCATCTTCTCATTTAACTGCACCACACTAGTCTCAGTACTACCCGATGATAGTACCTTGCTAGTCATGTCTCCTTTACCAGTGTTATCCAACTTTAACTCAACTTCTTCAGCATCTCCTCCATAAACAAGTTGCTTCTCCTCATGGCCATTCATGTTTGGCTCAGTTGTCTGAACAAAATTGGTGCACAAACGAGAAATATCATCACACAAGTCTGAAACTAAAAGATTCTTCACACAACCAGAGTCATCCTCGACAGGACTCAGCCTTGCCACTCCCTCCCCACTATCCGCATAATCATCATTATGAAATTCAAAGCGAGAAACTGGCCTGTTCAAGTCAGGAGACATACAATCCGTGTGAGCACGTGTTGAAATCGAGCTGGAGCAATCTAAGTTCACTTCAGAAGAGACTGAACTGGGAGACAGTGGGCTGCCCACAGATTCTAAAGTAGAGACAGGGATTGCGACCACCAGCTCTTTGTTCATCTCCGTCACTGCTCTGTTACGCAGTGGTGACATGGACCCACCCACGTCTGCTGAGGAAGTAGGACTGGCCAGGGCAGAGTCTCCATTGGAAAGATGAGGCACTGGACTTTCAACTGCAGAGTCCTCATTGCCAGCTTTCTCAGAGCTGTATCCTGATTCCCCCATATCGACACCAAGCACCTTGGATCCCATATCTTGTTCCACATTGTCTTCCACGTCTGCATCGCTCTGCTCTGTTACACAATCACAGTAAAATGCAAGTCAGACAGAAGTGTTAACTATGCAATTCAGCACACTCTGGATATTACAAACCACACAAAAACCTACTTCCCCCAAAACCAATTTTGATATCAATCTCTTGCCTCCATCACAGGCTTAATGTTGCTGTCCAAGATACTTCTCCATAAAAATTCTGTACCTGTTTCCTCCAACCATGTTGTTAAGTACAGGTCACCACAAACCTCATGATGTACTAATTACCACACTTATACCTAGAGAACAGAAATGTCATGATGTTTCTCAGTACGCATGTAGCTGGTTCCCCACATGTGTTTCGTGAGCATAATATTCACTTCAACACTTCATCTTCAGCTATTCGGAAACTTGAGATCTCAGGACATATAGGCATCAAATCAATACACGTGAGTGCATATGCAGATGATCTAGCTATTATTAGCAGGAATAAAGCTGCACTGGAAGAAACAGTATTAAAATTGATAGAAGAAACAGAATTAAGGGGGCTAAAAATAAATGAATCGAAAACAAAATATATGAAAGTTACAAGAGCAGCAAGAAATGTCACAAATAAATTGAGAATAGGGCATTATAATTTTGAACATGTGCAGAATTTTAATTACCTGGGTTCACAGATTAATACTATAAATTCAGTAACTAATGAAATTAAAGCACGTATTGTGAATGGTAATAGGTGTTACTATGCCTATCAGAATTTAATGAAGTCTAAAATACTGGGGAGGGGACTTAAACTGAGAATCTATAAAGTTCTGATAAGACCAGTAGTCACATATGGATGTGAAGCCTGGACATTAACTAGCTTTGATGAGCAACAACTTAGAATATTTGAACGCAAAATATTGCGGAAAATCTATGGTCCAATACGGAATAGTGATGGCTCCTGGAGAATTAGAATGAATCATGAACTAGATTGTATCATACAGGGAGCAGATATCGTGAGGCTAATCAAAAGCAAAAGGTTAGCCTGGCTTGGCCATGTTGCAAGAATGGAAGGAAACAGGGTAACTAGAAGAGTGATGGAATGGAGACCGATGGGAAGAAGGATGAGAGGGAGACCACGGAAACGATGATTAGACGACGTAGAGGAGGATGTGAGGGCGATGGGAGTAAGGGGATGGAGAAGAATTGTGAATGATAGGACAGAATGGAAAAAATTCATCGAACAAGCTAAGACCCACACAGGGTTATAACGCTATAAGAAGAAGAAGAAGAAGAATTACGCAAGATGCTCCCTTGAAAACGGCAAATAAAAATTGTCAAAATATTGTACTTAGGTGATCTGAAAGCATGAAACTTTCAATGAGTAATTATTTATTAACGAATACAATAAAATAAAAATGGAACAGAACATATTGTAGTGTTGACTATAACCAGAGAAACTTTATAATTTGGTTATATTAAATACTCTTTACTATAGTACGAGTGTTATTAGAACCCACATTTACTAATCATTCAGAACCATAAAATAGAACATCCTAACTGTGGGTGATATTTATTACCATTTGTACACAGGAGTAATAAAATTATGTAACATTTTTGTAATCAATGTAGCACACTGGCTCTTAAGATGGTAAGAATCACTTAGCTGATCAAGAAATTACGTCTTTTACGGATATAGAAAGTAAAAATTTCACACCCATACGAAAAACAGGCAACATTATCGTTTTGTGTAGGTCTGTCCTAATATTTGTGCATCAGAAAGACAAAATATTATGAAATTAATGGTAGGAAATATTCCCAGAAGTTAATCTCTTTACATTTCTGCATTAATACAATTTTGATTTGTTATTATTGTTCCAAGATATTTTCCACGTTTCATAAAAAAATGTTATCTATTTTATGATAATTTTATCCCGCATTCTGTGACGAGACGTCAAAGTTTATTTCGCTTATCTCTCTCCACATTTAATTCTGCACAAACACGAGGGAACAATATGGTCTAGCAAAAGATTCCAAACCCGGAAACACTATATGATATATAATTATAAATGTTTCTTGCAGCGGAGAAACCATTTCTACCAATGTGGAAATTCTGCAGTTTAGTATCTGTGTTCATCAATCTGATTATGGTGTACGGCGCCCTGACGGTATGTAAAAATTAATTTTTGGGGTGCAGTGAAATAACTTAAGTGAAAATAATTAACTTGTTGAAAATTGCAATCACCAGGCCTCACAGAAAAAAATACAGGGTCTCAAAAATATGTATACACAAGGCTCTGGAAATAGACATACATATTAAAATTAGAATTAGGATGAATCATGAACTAGATTGTATCATACAGGGAGCAGATATCGTGAGGCTAATCAAAAGCAAAAGGTTAGCCTGGTTTGGCCATGTTGCAAGAATGGAAGTGAAAAGGGTAACTAGAAGAGTGATGGGAAGAAGGATGAGAGGGAGACCACGGAAATGATGGATAGACGACGTGGAAGAGGATGTGAGGACGATGGGAGTGAGGGGATGGAGAAGAATTGTGAATGATAGGACAGAATGGAAAAAAATCATCGAACATGCTAAGACCCACACAGGGTTATAACGCTATAAGAAGAAGAAGAAGAAGATTAAAATTTCGTAATAGTTTGAGAAACCTGCCCAGTTATTGTGGCCTCCTACATTACCAAGAATTGAAATATTACGACAAATAAAGTGAGAACGTATAACTTTGATTTACAGTTTCAGATATAAAGCTAACAATTAAAACACCAGAAACCGTATGTTTACGATTCTTGTGTCTTTCTTCACAGGAGCAGTCCTTGCCAGTAGTCCCATGGATCGTTTGGCACATAGCAATGCCTTTAGTGCAGTTTTCAGTCTTCAAGTGGAACAACATAAAATTAGCTACTTGTCAAGGAATAATATCGTCAGACGGATCCGGAATATCCTCTTTAGTTATATTATCGGTTCGCGTAAGTATTGTAAATTATATATAAAGTTTCAATCTGTAATAATAAAATTAATAATTTTCTTTATAAATTATAAGAATTGCATTATTGCTCAAATGGTCTAGTTATCTCTCCCTTAACCTATTCACATCCTCACAACATGAGGATTATTTTAAAATTATCAGAGGCTATGCGCCATTTTCTTTCCCTGTTCTGAGAAAAATTTAAACTTCCAAGCTTATTCGAGTAATCATCACCATGAAGGAAAGTCTTCTTCAGATTAAAGTCTCGCAGATGGTCTACAAATTCCCCGACTTTTTTTGAATCCGGACGTTCATAACAGCCAACTACTGGATCTCACTCTGATAAATCTAAATTCCTTCCACACCATCTCCTTCTTTCTAAGATCCCGGCAACTAAAACTGTCCGTATTTCTTATACCCAGCTCAAAAATCCTTCTTTTGACAGCACTAATGTTATTTCCAAATCTTAAGCTACTTCCTGTTCCTTCGATCGCGCCAAACACTGCACCCTTTGCGAAAAATACACAATAAACCAGCGCTGATTAGTGACCATTTGCTGCAAAGGGATTTTGGACCTAATGGGATAATATTTATGAATGTGTGCGTTCTCATAATTGTTGCCATGTAATGTTGTCAAGAGTCACTGAGACAACACTTATGATTATGTGTGATTATTCGCTGCGTTAAATTTCCCTCTCGTTCTTGAAGGGCAATTTACTACTTTCATATAATACGTTATATTTTCTTACTTAGGCCCTTTGAAATGCGAGATCTTTGAGTCCACATCATTACCTTGTGACCCAGAGATTTCAAGCACAATGTCACACGGTAACTACTCATAACTGTCCACTGAATTAAGATAGGTTCGTTCCATTTGAAACGCAACCATAAATATACACATTCACGCACAAGACGAAAGTAACAGCAATATTAAATTCTCGCAGCCGTATCCTGTTTTTGCAAATTATAAGTTTGAAATTGGCACTACCGGAAATTTTGTTAGCAGATGGCACACGCATTGCTAAATACTTCAAAAAACTTATTACTTTATTTTGATAAACATTTTTTCCGTTCGTCAACACGCAATGTTCTCAACTGTACAACTTTTGCACAACTGTCGTGAGCAGCGGCCTAGTAACCAGGGTGATCTTTAATCGAGTCTCGTGGCGATACTACTGATTTTGTTTTGTGTTTTAAATGGTACATGCTGTACTCAGGATCACAATTTAATACAAGTTTTGTTTTACAGTGTTTGCAAGTCTGTTGAGTTTCATCGCCATTAGTTTGTTCATTCTGTTCATTCTGTTCATTCTGTACGGTCTGTTCAGACTGTTCAGAAGACTAACACATCGAGAAACTAGGACGGTGAATGAGCAACATGTATTTTATGTACAGCGAAGGTACAGGATTCGCGTCTATGGACTGTAGATATGACGCCAGCAGCGTGTTACGAGGAAGAAGCTTTTCGCTTGCAATGAAGAAACCATGAAGAACTGGAGGAAAGTATAATCAGTGAAACCAATATTCTTTGAAAGTACCTGTGATCACCAATAGCAAACATGCCGGCTTAATCAAGGAAAAACGCTGACTATGCAAGAGTATATGTGCAAATTTAATGCGTTGTGAATCAATCTTTATTAAATAGTCTATAATTTATGGTTCAATTTATAACAATCAGTTCAAAAATAAAATATACATAACAGTTTAGAAATGGGTACTAACTTTTAGAGTTGTATTAAAGTAAATAGTTCGTAACAAATGTTATTGGCGAAATTCAAATATATTTTTAAGCAAGAAGGATTTTTTTAAATAAGACAGAGGTGAAAGGCCATACTGTGCCAGAATAAGTTTAATTTTCTTGTAGCGTGTACCATTTGAATATTATTGTAAGCAATATATGTATTGACATATCAACGTAAACGAAATATATTAATGTTTACAAAATTGTCTCTCTCTTACGTGTAATTAATTTTGTTTCTGCCATTACGGAACCATAATTTTCATTTCACGATCACTTTAATTAAACCTTTACGTCTGCAACTGCCTTGAGCTGGAAACATTATTTAGTGGTCTAGCTTCGTTACAGGTACATATAATCAGAATGTTATTTTAAATCAAATATTTCACTTCTACGCAAACAAAGTTTACACTGTGTCTTACTTCAAGTTAAGTATAATAATTCTCATACGGATATCGACAGACAAATTCATTCAAATTCTTGAAACGATGTTCAATGCCTTTATCTTTCCACAAGAGCAAAGGTTTGAAGACCACAGGAAAGCCTGCAAAATTATGTTCTGGTTAAAATGTGGTAACCTTATCATGCATTTATTAGATAAGAAGCGTGTTGTTTGGTCCAGTGGTTATCACGTGTATGTAGATTATAACTGAAGGTTAGGCGACCAAGTTCATGTTCAATAGATGGAGGACAAGTGACGTGTGGTGATGCATTTTACTTGCACTTAGAAACAACCCAATTTGAATCTCAATCGGAAAACCTGCTTTTATGACTGAGGTCCATCATGATATCGAACACTGACTGAGAGATTAGGATTCTGCCTCCTAATGGAGAAATCACGGGTTAAGATCATAAAATGGCTAAAGACTCTGCATGCTCAGGATTTGTCATAATTTCTGATCCCAAAAGGGAAATGACGGGACGGTGTCATAAAACAACCCAGGACCACAGCCTTTCCAGCTCAACATTGACACGAATCATTCTATCATTTCATGCTCCATAATCTAGGCAATACAAATGGCGTCGTTAAACACAAGAAATTAATACAGATTGTTGTTTTCTGGTTGTTCACTGTCCTTATGCAGTCCTGAAGATGGACGTAGCATGTTCCTCCGAAACGTCGTTTGTCTATCCATAAGACCACACGGAGGAACAACCCAGAAGATCACAATCTGAAATATCAAGGTCGTTAAAACTCGCGTCTCAAAAAAAAGTCGTTCATGACGACTTCCCACAGTTCCACAAGGAAAATTACTTCAGGTTAAACACGAGTGTCTCACAATATTTTTGCTGTCATCATCTTGCCCTTTCTTCGACTAGAAGGTCAAGAAAGGTCATCCAGACAGAAGCCACACATTTTATCACTCCAGTTCATCATTCCATCCGGAACAGACGCTTACAAGACTGAATTTAGAAACGAATGGGTTGTCTGAATACCGGAGTCACAGTGCACTGATTTTCTGACAGATGACGAATCTTTCCCATTTTATTAGAACTGTTTTATACTCAACAGTCCAGGATGAATTTGCATATCCTACGATTCTTTTGCGTATTTCTGTCAGATCATTTCAAAGAGTGTTGACAGCTTCGGCATATGGAAATATGACTCAATTATAAAGTAATTTTTATTCTGAACTGATAAATTTCCTCCGGTTTCCGAGTGTTTGTACAAACTCATTTCGCTCAGACTTCAAACAGCACGATCATTCATTGGGTCATATTTATTAGCTTTATATTGCTCGTTATCATTACTTTATTTCCCAAGGCATTATCAAATATACTCCGGAGAAAAAGAGTATTATATCGAAAAAAGCGAAATAAATTAGCACCTTTACTTCTATACTTCATGTTTGGGAGTTCCTCAGTTCGAATCGTGATACATCATTTGCAGAACCTCAATGATAACACAGAAATAACAGGCTACTTAAAAATAAGACAAAGCTTTTTCCCAATAATCATAGTCATCCTGAAATTCAAAGCCGTATTCCTCTGCAGGTTTAAAGCGGATTTAAAAAAGACACAAAAATCATAAATCAATTACGAGAGGACTGAAGAATTATAAGGAATGCGGAACTAAGTGGTCGTGGAAAATTTTTAAGATGGTGCTCCAACATTTCGCTAGAAATAGTAAGGGAAAATGTCAGTTTAGAATATTTCCAGTACGAGATACGAACTCCCGATCAATGACTACCAAAGCTCGACGTGGTTTAAGAATTTTCGTGATCAGTACGACAAAATCGACGTACGTGTCTCTGGCGTGTTTAAACACTAGAATTCTTCAGCAAAGTTGTGTTTATTGTTACGTTCGAGCCATTTGAAATTGTGAATACTTCGAAATAAATATTTATGTAGCATACATATTCTTATTCTTTTTACAGCGTAGTCGTGTAATCATGACAGCTACATACGAATGGTGCATTTGGTTACAAAAGCCGCCTACTTCATTTTTTGTGAATTTAACCGGACTTTTCAGTCCACACGCCATAACTGTAACGAAGTCCCACGATTTCGTAATGAGCACTTTTCCTGCCATTGACGTAGTTTCTATAACGTTTCCTTAATCACGTAATACAATTAAGTTTTATTACGTCGTTGGCAGAGTCACCTATCGACAGAAACAGGTACTACAACTTGTTACTATAGCCTCAAGAGGCAACAAAATACATGAAATTACAGTCTGCGACTGTAATCTTGAGACTTTAGAGGTGAGGAGGTGGGGTGAAGGGGGAAAGTTAAGGTACCATTTGGCTGCACGAGACAGAGATAAGCCACCAAGGCAGGCGACAGAGACGGACACATCGCAGCTTGTCGCCACACACTTTTGAGGTGACGACCGAGACATGCGGCAAAGTATTTGTTTTCTTTGTTTTGTTGAGACATACGTGTACATATTCTGTGAAAAATGAGTACAAAAATGCTTCTAAAAAGCTTGGTCACCAGTAAATTTAATTTCTGCCATTATTTTACTCAACAACACACGTGCTGCCTGAGCCCGTCGCGAGACACTACTGGTCCAAGAGCGGTCTCCTGTGCTTTGTCTCTGTCGTCTGTCTTTGTCTCGCGCTCGTAATTGTACTTCATACGATTGTACAGAGAGCAGACAGGAAGCGACCAGTCTCGGTCTCGTAACTATGTCGCCTGCCTCGGTCGCTTGTCTCTGTCGCGTGCAGCCAAATGGTACCTTTAGCATCTGCCTTTTACGCTTCGGACTTCCTGCATTCCTTGCAAGTCTCAAGATTACAGTCGTGGACTATAAAGACAGACTGCAAAATGTATGTAAACAAGAGGCGGTGATCTATTTTAAATCTCTAAATACTACAAACCGCAGTTTGTGGTCGATTTATAAGCCGACAACTCTCGACGACACAAACACTGATTTTACACTGACGTCGAGAATTTTCAGTTACTGTACTTGAGTAAGTTTTGTGAGTCGAGAGTAATCTCTGCGGAATGTACTTCACGTGACTTTCTTATACAAACAAGAGCCGTTTCCCGCCCGCCAATCAGTCGCCGCGAGTCTGTGGTACGGGGCAGATCCGTTTGGCTGTAGCCACGTAAGTTAATGTGCTGCTCGTAGTGTTGTGCAACACTGGAGAACCTGATTTTTAAGCAATTACCGGCGCATTGTAAATAATTGTCTTTGTGCGTGTGAGACTGATTTTAAGAGTGCGGTTAAAACTATAAATTACATTAAGTTATAAATATACTGAAATGTAGTTCCGTTTGTGAGGTTATATCAGTACAATAATTGACTAGATGTTAATTAGTCAGTCATATTTTCATTTTATAGCCTACCATTCTCCTCAAATTATAAAAGAAATCGTAATTTGAAACATAATAACCGACTTTTTGGATTATAAACCCTGTGCAGAGTGGATGTGTGATTAACCTTGTAATTCGGAGTGGTAACTATATTTACCAGCTGCTTTAACAGTAAGTTGTGTTGTTCTATGTGACTTTCAGTGTAAAGCGGGGACATTTCGTTAAGTAACATTGACTAATTGATGTGTAATGCTGAAGAGTTGCGTTTTCTTTGCGGTACGGATGTGTTCTTAAATTTTATACAGATGAGCTTCGAATTCAAAGGGGTTAAGGTTGATCTTTTCCACTTATTTTTGGGTTTTGAATAAAACCATTTAACATACAATGCTATCTGGGATCTGTTGTTCTCCACTTTTATAAGTTATTTTATTCTGTAAGGGCAGCGATCGGGTTGTAATCTTGAACCATTCCAAAAGGAAACAAATTAAAGTCTGACCGAAAGTGTGTCACGTCAATTCGGAGCAAATTTAACTGAAATACGTTCAGTAGTTTTGAACATCAAGTACACAGATGACATAAAAGACACGAAATCTTCTTATTTATGATTTTTTTCGAAAGAACACGCAAACATTTAAAACAAAATACAAACGATGTTATTGTTGACGGCCGCGACAGTATTCTGACCTTTTTGAGCTAACCCTACTGCAATAAATTCAGATGTGCATGCGAAAACAGATGAGCAGTGGACACTAAATATTATAGGGGCTGTCCTTGTACGAAATCTATGCAGTATGCAGTGACGTCACAAAGAGCACTGACCGCTTAAGAATAAAACCACGAGTGCAGTTCTGTCCAAACGTCAGCGGTGAGCTTGATTTATTAACTATAAATACGTAGGGCGTAGCAGGGTATTTATGGGCCCCTAAAGTTAGAAACGAGCTAATGTGAGCTGCGGACGGAACATGAGGTTAAAATAACGCAAACTTTATCAAAAACCGAATTGCCATTCCAATGACAAAACTCAATTACGAGGCTTGCGTTCTTAGTCTGATGAATCCATGTAGGATTTGAGGTTTTCACGACGGTGAATTCTGTCTTCTGGGAAACGGTGAACATCTGCCAGACTACACGGTTCAACAACATAGAAGACAGCAATCTTCTGATGAATCCACTTTAAACCCTCTCAAAATCTCTTCCATTTGCTCCTAAATCTTCCGAATGGTCTTCCAATCTTAGTTTCAGGTAAAGTTGTCCCTGGTCCTGAAATAATCTACAACACACGGAAGTTTATATTGTTCTTGTTTCGGTAGCTTATCTCGAATGAAAATTTTCCACAGTACAATTTTTATAAATTTCCTCTCCCCGAAAATTTAATTGAACCAGATCTCATCATCTAATCTCGTTCGATTGTCTTTACATATCGATAAAAGATTTCGGGTTCCACATATGGGTCAACATTGCACTTGAAGGCAGTTTTTATCTTTGAAGCTTATCAGTTTTCTGTCCATAAGAAAACTTTAACCTCTCCTCGATTTAGGATTATTAAGCACTCTTATTAGATGAGCTGGATTCTTCATCATCATGGATTATGCCATCTAGCCTAAAAAGTTCTATATATTTAAAATTCAAATTATTCTTTCCATTACATTTATGGTCGTGTCAGTTGATTTTTTCATTCACGTTAACAAAATATACGGGTACCATCTTAATATCTATCCTTAATATGTTGTGATTACCTCAAGTGGTTCTTTCCTATTCGGTTATTAATATCTACTGTAAACATTCTAAAATAACCTGTATCAACTGTTCCGTACAGACGAGTCGACTGTAAATATCCTGTTACGCTACTCTACATCTGTTGCATACAATTGAAACAGACATTTACATTTAACATGGTTGCCATGTCTCATTAATATTACCAAAATCCGTTTTTTGTCGCCCCTCGTTTTATATGTTAATTTATTGAAGATACAATTCTGTTACAACACACCTAATCGCACTTTAGATTGTTTTAATCTGATGTAAAACATTTGGGATTAACATTTTAGACCTGCGAGATCTTCCATATTTCATTCCACCCACCAGGATTTGAAAACTAATAACGCATATTTGTCAAAACAGATAAGCGTAATAATTTATTTCCCTGTAGCGCAGATTGGGGATTAGGCGTGGGGGAACTACTCCCTACCGCATATAAACAGTATGTTACGAAATTTGACACAAGGCGGTCACTTGTGAGTGTGATAACGGACCTCCTGGTTTCTTATAAGAAGTTGAATTAATTTTGTGTCAACTACAGTGGCGTGAGGTATGATTACACGACTATAAATAATGAATTATAAAGTAGGTGGGAGGGAAAATTAATATAAAAGTTCGTCACTAAACATGATCCTGACAGTCCAATTTCCCTGAAACCCCACAAGCCCCTCCCCAAAATCCAACTTGATATCAATCTTCGATTTCCTATTACACACGTCTGTTGTTTAACATTTACGTAAGTCTCCATCTTTTATTTTGTAGGTTTCTGCGTTGAGGACACATCGACAGTCGCCATGTCATTGCAATGGCTAACACTGATGGTGATACTCACAGGTATCTCGCACGTAACAGATTCTTACAAGATTCTATGTCTGTTCCCTCACACCGCGAAGAGTCATTTCTTCATGGCAGAGGCTCTGATGAAGGGTCTGGCCGCTAAAGGTCATCAGGTGACAATGATTAGCCACTTCCCTCAGAAAACTCCAATTCCTAATTACAGAGACATCAGTCTCGTCGGCTCGATGCCAGAATATGTAAATCAGGTGCCTCTGGACACTGTAGCCACAGGGCATGTCTACACCACGATCAGTTTCCTGGCACACATTGGTTACGACAACTGTAAAAACACCATGGAGTTCCCAGCGATGAAGAAATTCGTTGCAGCAAATGAGAAGTTTGATCTGATAGTCACTGAACTCTTCAATACGGATTGCCTTTTGGGATATGTTTACAGACAACATACGCCTTTTATTGCTTTGAGTTCTTCGGTTATGATGCCTTGGGCATATGCAAGATTCGGCAACCCTGATAACCCATCCTACATGGGAAATCACTTTCTGTACCATGGAAACCGGATGACATTCCCAGAGAGAGTTATAAACGTGCTGTACCAGGAAGGCCTCAAGTTGGTCTATAAGTTCGTGTTCGATAGACCCGCAAACGAACTCGCCAAAAAGTACTTCGGAGAGTCGTTGCCTCCTCTGTCAGAAATCGCGAAGAATACGAGTCTGTTGCTGGTCAACAGTCATTTTTCTCTCAACCAGCCGCGACCCCTACTCCCCAATATTGTGGAAGTGGGCGGAATACACTTGCAGCCGCCGGAGCACAAACTTTCCAAGGTAAGCGACATTTACGAACAATAATTTCACATTTTTACACAATCTATCAACAGTCATCACCATCACCTCCTCCTCCTCCTTCTTCTTCTCCTCCTTCTCCCCCTTCTCCTCCTTCTTCTCCTTCTTCTCCTCCGCCTACTCCTCCTCCTTCTTATTCTTCTCCTTCTCCTCCGCCTACTCCTCCTCCTCCTTCTTCATCTCCTCCTCCTAATTATTCTTCTTCTCCTTCTCCTTCTCCTCCTTATTCTTCTCCTCCTTCTCCTCTTTCTTCTTCTTCTACTTCTCCTCCTTCTTCTCCTTTTTCCTCATCCTCCTCAGGGATTTCGCTAAAACTAACGTATCGAGCCGGTTCTAGCAGCACTAAACCGTCTGCCGCGCTCTGGAGTCGTCATGTTCGAATCTCGACGGGGAACCGTGTACGTTGACTCTTGAACTTACTGTTCTCCTGGCGAAAGCTACAACAATACATTGAATAGTTATTTATTTCTGCCAAAATGTTTCCATTTCACCGTTCATTGGACGTAGACGTTCCAGTATCGACGACTTCTGTACACCCCAGAAAGCGTTACAAAGGTCTCTCCATGACTTGCATTTATCTTCAGTAGCTGCATCCACGTATTCATTCTATTGCCCCATGACAGAGCGAATGTCTTGACCTTGAAAGTACAGGCCAACCAAAGATTATTGCGTCACGCGTTTCTGAATATTCACATATGCAGTGCCAGTGTTACTTAATAAACTATAGACTTTTACGTAAACATTTTTCAAGACACAGTCGGCGTTTAAACTGTAGAATTATTTCAAGGAAACTTTATACTTAATGTCAAATTATTTAGCTAAATAGATGCAAAGTGAACTGTACATTATGAACAATCAAGTACTTGAGAAAATAGCTTCGGAAAAATTAACGAGAATGATTAATTAAGAACAGTAAACAGCAGACGAACGTTTATACCATTATATGTTTAATAACTTAACATGTGACTGTTTTAATATGGTATAGATCAGTGGTATTCAACGTTTTTTGTTCGCGTATCCCAGATATAATTTCTCTATAACTTTGTACCCCCAAACTTATTGGTGTATAATTGAAGTTATACATACTATATTCTCTACATCTAAAATAAATCAAATAAATTACATTACTGATTATCCAGTGTTTATCATAAAATAATATATTTTTTTTAAATTTCACGTACCCCCTAAGATGTCTTCGCGTACCCCAGGTTGAATACCACTGGTATAGATAATACCGATCACTAAACAATTGTTTTACTAACGTTCAGTTAATGAGTGTTCGCTTTAATAGACTTGATCTTTATATTTCTTTTTCGGAAAGCATAATTTATTTCTGGTACAACGATAACACGCTAAGCCGATCTTAACGCATCTGTGAGCGAGCTGCATGTTGATGCAGATTAACACAGCGCCGCTTTCATGTTCGTTGTTATATTTACTTATTTGCTTCCTTTCATATTTACACTATGACAGGCCAAGTTTGTTTTAAATTTTACTGTCCCTTTTAAATTTATTACCAAAAAAAGAAATTAGTGTGATGCTACCCCTTTTACTATTATTTATATTTACACATTACATCTATTTATTATCTTTAAATTAGTATATCTTTGTAGTCATCGTTAATGTTGATTTCAACTTATCTGTCATTCGTCATCACATTTACACATGTGCGTAACACGTGCACCTTACAGAATTCTCATCAGTACAATTAACTGTCTGTGTGCACAGATGCGACACGAAGACGGTATTTTTAAGTTTGTTTCACAAAAGGAAATAAACTAAAAGTTTAATTAAAATCCCACCAAAGTACCTTCAATTATCCCATCAGTTTAGTATCTAATGGGTTTTTAATTTACTTTTATTCATAATGAAATACGTATATATTAGCCATATGTACCTTATTTTAGTACTAAGACTTACACACACTCACATATGCCTATACTCTCACGAAACAGCGAGGTCTAATTATAATTATTGCCTTTAAGTAAATTTTAATTTCAGCTTTCCTCAACGAGTGTTATTCAATGAACACATCTTATTTCACAGGATCTGAAGGAGTTCATTGATGGAGCAAAGCATGGCGTTGTAATATTCAGCCTTGGGTCTTCAGTTAAAGCTGATACGTTCCCACCTGACAAGCGTGATGCATTCGTACAGGCATTTTCAGAGCTTCCACAGCGAGTGCTCTGGAAGTGGGAGGGAGACACGCTTCCAGGACAGCCTAAGAACGTTAAGATAGTCAAGTGGTTGCCTCAGATGGACGTTCTGGGTAATTATTTTCACTAGTGCATACACACGAATGGTCTAGCGGAACGCTGGCCTTGTAATCCCGGGGTCCCGGGTTCGATTCCCGGCGGTGCCCGAATTTATAACTTGTCTTGGGCAAGGCCGTGGTCTAGGCAACACGGGAGTTTTCCTCCGGGGGCTTCCCCGGTTTCTCCGTGGCATCCCAACAATTACTCCATTCACACTCACACAGAAGAAGGCAATGGCAAACCACTTCTGGATCATCTGCCAAGAACGTATATGAACAGGTCCCAGTCCGAGAAAAGGATGGAAGGATCCTGTTCATATGGACCTGTCGTCAGACAGAACACTACAAATAAATAAATAAATACACACTGGATCTTAATTAAATTTCTAAACTCACTACATCATTGAAGATATAGTCAGAGTTCAATTAAATTATGTACTCGTGTGCACACGATCCCATACGTTGTAGAGGTATAGGGTACTTTTTGCTAAGCTGACAGGTTCATTACGAAGTTGACAGAATCCCTCACTGGTATATACTGAATCCAGTACACACCTTTCAACCATACTTCGTTAAAAGTAATTTTTATATTATCTGTACATATACGCGTAGACCAATGTCAGCCGATAACCTCTAAACCATTTAGGCATAAACATGCAAAATGAAGTAGGCCTACTCTCCTGTTTTATAGTTTGAAGTAACACAGAGTTGAGGATATTCTGCGTAGTTTTATTCCATCGCTGTTTCCAGTTAGGCGTCTTCATATTCCTGTGAAATGCGTATTAAAATCGCTTGGTCCATCCGAACGCATGCAACAAAATAAAAATTTAAAGAGCTGATTTTTATTAAATATACTAAAGAATTTTACTAAAAATTGTCGAGCCATTTCAACTTAAAACTAGATCACTTCATATCTCTCATCTTCTTTTAACCGTAGGTGTCGAGATTTTTATATTTATTCAATTGATCTTATTAGGACGATGGTAGGACTCCTTGGATGAGTGATCAGCCCGACGCAAGGCCTCTACCTAAACAAACACAGAAAGACGCGGACAAACATCCATGCCTTGAGTGGGACTCGAACCCATGGTCGCAGCGGCCAGGCGCACGAGGACCATGCCTCAGACCGCGTGTCCACTGCCGCCGGCCACTTCAGAGCATAAAATGAAGGCGAGAAGCTCTTATTGTGTCTGTCAGTCTGTTTGTTTGTTCATATGTTTCAACTTAAGAACCGGAGGATTGATCTTGATTAAATTTCGTATGGACGGTATGCCACTGGGGACAACATTGCGCTTGTACTTCTGATTTCTTACAACCAGTAATGACAACCGCACGAAATTGTACTGACATCGTGCCACTTAATGTAATGATGTACGATAACAGAAAAAAAAATTTAACTTCGATTTTAAGATAATTTTTCTATACAATGTTCTACAAAATGTTTTACATATTTCTCATCTCTGTCATTCCTAGCCACAAACTGTTTGTGTGTATCTATAATAATACTCTATCGGCAGTCTTGTGGGCTAACTGTAACCTTGACCTCTGTTCCAGGTCATCCGAACGTCAGATTGTTCGTCACACACGGTGGTCTTATGGGCACTACGGAAGCTGCATACAGTGGAGTCCCAATGGTAGGGATCCCCTTGTTCGGCGATCAGTTTCACAACGTCAGGTCGTACGTGTTACAAGGCATAGCCGTCACCCTCGACTACCACACGATATCCAAATCTACAGTTCTGTCATCTCTCAAGGAAGTTTTGGAAAATCCTAGGTATGTTAGCTCAACAGAAAAAGTTCAAGTGAGAATGTAAGCTGCTTTTGTGACAAAAGCGGCCCATTCACACTCTCACTGTCGTAGCGAGCGGTCCGAGTGTGCGTGGGTGTAAAGTAGAGGCGCCCAACTGAACTGAACTGAACTGAACTGAACTACGCGCATGGCGTCATCTTTGATCATAATGATCCCTTTTTATTGACGCTGTAATGAATGTATATCTAAGTATGCTTTCCATGTCTATCCAGACGAGCCACAAAATAACTTGATGAAACTTTTCCGAAAGTACTTTAGCGAAGCTACGAATTATAGTTGTTGATAATTTGACTGGTAAATTTATTGCATACAAATTGGTAGCAATGCATGTGCTTGGAGAATTTGAAGAAAGAAGAAAACAGTTTACCTAGTAAGTGACTGACATTTGAAACTCATGCATCCGAATACAATTTGAAACAGCTGAAGACCGTGTTAATACACCCACATTTACTCTTTCTATTATTACTGTTACAGCTACAAGGAAAACGCATTACGTATTCAAAAGGCATTGAACGATCGACCTCTCTCCCCGTTAGACACTGCCATCTTCTGGACGGAGTATGCAGTACGACACGGCGGAGCGCCACACTTGCGTTCTGCGGCAATTGAGCTTGCGTGGTACCAGTATTTGCTACTAGATGTCATAGCTGTGCTATTTCTGGCCGTAGCTGTCGTCATGGCAGTGTTCTACTTTATTGTCAAGAAATTATTTTCCCTGTGTCTAAAAACTAGGAATGAAAAGAAAACGAAACCGAAAGCAAAGAGAAGCTGAACAAAAGTGTGTCCTAGTTTCCTCCATTGTCTTCTGTAAGAACTGTAAAGTGCTTTAGAACCATAATTGTACGCAGCTTTTGTGAAAATTGGGTTGTCAAGATGGCTACGGTGCGTATTGAAGTAAAGGGTGTATATGTAAGCCAGTATTACGAAATGTAACAGTTACAAAAGCAATACGATGAAACATACATTTTGGTGTTTTAACCTCAGACGTTCTCTCCGAGAAAGGAAATTAATACTCCCATAAGTTAGCACGAACCAGCAAAAGAAACAAATTAGTACTGGTCCCATTACTCTATCGTGCTGAATTTTGGAGCTGCAAGAACCGCCCTCACCGAAACTTCATTCGGGACTGTTTTTCGTAGTTTTGACCTCTATACATTCTCTTCCCGTGGAATCAATAAATAAATCCGTTCTGAAGCTATGACGGAACATAAAAACTTACCCCCACACCCACAATTTCAATTCTATAATAAAAAGATAATATAACCTTAATCTTGATCATTAAACTGCTTTAACGTGGTGTGTTCAAAATACGAAAAATACCAAAAATTACTAAGTTTTGACATTGTGGGTTAGGACAAAAAGAAAGACTGTGTTCATTAACATACTTCTGCGATAAAATATTTAAATCAACTGTACATACTTCTGCGATAAAATATTTAAATTAAATTAAATTCTTCGTTTCTGGTACGGAAATTTTCCTACAGGCTGTGCGCACTGCGTAATGCGCAAAAGCAGAGACTGAACATAACACATGGGCCTGGGATTCTTGCTTATAAATGAAAAAATCTAATCGCGTGTGCCTTATCCGAAGCAAGTAAAATAATTACATATATCCTAATTAAAAACAATACCTTACTTTCCATCTGTTGCTTCAGTTTCGCCGTATCAGGGTGTACGATGGCAAGAAGTTGGTGCAACTGGTCCATCCTGAAGTCTGGCAAAAAATGCGATTTCACTTCAAGGTTAAATTTACTTCATTCACCTTCAAAGCAATTTAACATAAACCACTACCGAAACACACGCTCGATGACACAATGAGTGTGACTTCATATTAAAACGTTCATCTGACGCACACCAGTTTTAACGTCCGTCAAACGCAGAAAACTTCTACCGAACACTTTCTTATTCTCACGCACAGGAAGTCTGCGGTAGAATTCTACTAAAACAGCTTCTAGCGTGGAATCATGGGAAACCGGTGAAGGGGAAGGTGTACTTGGCGTTCACAACGGATGTACTTCCACCCCTCTCCCTCTCGCGGAGAAATTAGATACGTAATTTTCGGTAAGCTGCTGCCCTCTGGAGAGAAATATACAATTGTTGGCTGCGTTCTATACAAAATTCGACCCCAGTTGCGGTCGTGAATTTCAGTTTGTATGATTCTCGTTCACAGATGTAAAGATGACAAAAATATTTGTTTATGATTAATTTCTTCTCGCGTTATTTTTACAGACGCAGAATAAAATAGTTTTCTTTTTGTAATTTCTACTACGATGACGATCGCAAAACTGATTAGTTTCATGCCATATTTAGTAACTGATGTGTGATGAAAGTTTAATTTCCGTATAAACTGAAAAGAAAAATGTAAAATAAGACAAATATATTATTTACATCGCTTTCAAACAACTGACACATCAATAAATTAAACATTTGAGATTAACTGGTTATTCTGCATTATTAAATTTTAAATAAACATAATTTTCAAAACTAAAGGATAACAGTTACATTTTTGTATAAGCAGTGAATATAATGCAAATTTAAAACTAGTAAACTAAATATTTAAAACTTTCAAACCTTATCGACGTTTGTCTTATGGCTCGTAATACTGTGTAGACTTGTAGTTACAAATCAATGTTTCAGAAGAAATCACAGCCTCCATCTTCAGGGATAAAGACAGTATATTCCTCCGAAACACTGGCATCAACTTACATCTAAATCCAGCGTTACGAACCGGAAGACAACTTCATCGCCGTGATTGAAAGGAGGACTTAAGTTCAAGGTTATTAACTTTGTACACTTTCAACACGCAGAAATACAGTCGGAATGCACAGTTTTATTCTGGAATTAGGGACCTAAAGTACGCACTAAATAAAACCTCTGCGGCACGGAGTTAACTCGCGTTTAACGATGCATGAACTGTGATGGCACATCAGTTAAAACTATTCATTTATCGCATCCTCGTATGGAAACGTCACATAATCCTGAGAAATTAAGAGATGAAATGCAGGGAATTTGACTGGTTCAGCTTCTGCTCTATCTTCGATCAGGAAAAGTTTTAACTTCTTCCGAGAAGAATTATCCCAGGGGGAGAGGTAAAGATCAACTCTAGCATCCGAACATCTGTCTTACTGAAAAGCGTGGTTGGCTTATCAGTGCTTTTCACTGAGAAGTGTGCAAACTTTATTAAAGGAGCTCGGATTTGTTGGCAAATTTAAATCTCTGAACAGCTTTATCTTGGTTGTTATTGGGTTGCATTTTAAATGGTACAGCCTGTATAACAACTTAGTTAATCTGCTATCGTCTCTAACGAGTTTCAATTCAGAACTAATTTATGAAACTATAAACCTATCGAAACATTTGAAAGTAGTTCTTGGATGACGGATCGGCCAATCGAAAAGTGCGTTCCTGTTAAGGATAGCAAAACGAAGTGGAACACGGCAACATCCACGTCTCGCTTTTGAAAGCTGTGAAGCTACGGATAGAAACAGATTATGCAGCATCGAAATAAAAGCAATTTAAAATTTTGTAAAACAGCATTGAAACTGTGCGATCACGGGACATCCCCGGAATTACGCTCTGCAAAGGAAATGTATGTTTTTATGTGCACTCCGGTACAGAGTTTATAATGTTTGAAGAAAGCTGTTCGGATTTTAGTCACCGAGTATCTCATACCCTGTCGATAAAAGGCCACTTTAAAATATAGATGTCTCTGGCAGACCGCGCCCGAGATGCAGCCCCGTTCAAATCTCGATTGGAAAATCGCAGAACTTGAAGGAGCGACTCGTAATAATCACTTTAAAAGCTATTTTTGGGATAAAAAATTACGGAGAGCGTAGGGAGTTTAGACTGAAATAATTAATACATTAAAATAAAAATAAATAGAACATCTTGTATTACAAAATAGAAGTTGAGCATTACATTTCAATTATTAAGCCTTCGTCGATTCGTCGTTGTACGTCTGTGAGAGCCTGTCACATCCCCATAAATTCGTTGCGTCTTTGGGACAAATCTGAAACAAAAAAGAAACGAACAAATGTCTTGAAAGGCTGTAAGAGGTCAGTCAATAGGAATCACAGTTATATATTTTTAGATAAATAAATAGTCTTCTGCAGAATCGTCGTAGAAGAACTTTGGTTAAGAATTACGACTTTCTGAAACCGCCGGTGAAGGCAAATGGCATATACGTAGATACGAAGTTCGCTTATAGACGCTTTGGATAGACAGAATTTATTTAAAAACGAACATGAACGCAGTTTACTATTAAGCAACAGTGGGATAGATGAGAAACGCACGTAGTTAACATTTTAACCGGGAAATCTCATGGAATAGAACTACTTGGGAGACCCAGGTAGGCTACAGATGAAAAAATAATTTAAAGTGGATCTTAATAAAATAGGGCTTGTGAGTATGGACTGATAAATAGTCGGTAGGTAGGGACCAGTGTCGGGTTCTTACGAACACGATAATGAACCGTCGGAGATATTCTTGATTATCTGAGCAATTAACAGTTTATCAAAAAACGGCTGTATTCCATGAAGTAAATCAATAAGGCTGCATTTAAAGCTTGTTTTACTGTGAAAGTAGACCTTATGTGTAACTTCTACGAAGAACGAAGACATTATTTTGAAGAATATTGTTAATTTCAGTTATCTTTTTTTTAAAAATAAAGGTAACTATTGCAGCCTACTTGTTTAAAGCAAGATGCTAGAAAAACATTTGGAAACACGACTAATAGCGAAGAGAATATTACAGAAGAACAGACCGAATTTATTAAATTTAATTTACTCAAGTGAGTGCTAACCGGTCTGTATTTAGGATAGCCTGCTAAGACCAGCTCCTACCTCACAATAATTGTATGCTATGCTGGAGAGACCATCTGTAAGTTAACTACGTAACCTATTTGAACTTAAACTTATAAATTATCAACATAACGTCGTTAATCTAGAAGTTAATTGATATTAAACAAACTTTCGAGTCAATGTCTCATCCGACCTTGTTAGTTTCAGAAAAGCAGATCACATATTATAATAATTCTGCTGGACGGACAATGTCGGCCCGCGTCCTCCGAGTTAGGACAAAGTTTCGACTCTCCTGCTTTGTTGTCTAAATGCCCCTTTCAGAGCAAATTTCATTTGCTTCTGCTAGTATACGTAATTTTCTACTAAAATTATCCATTTCTCGTACCGTCTGCATGCACTCAAGTATAATAATTTATCAGCGTACATATTACCGTTCGTTCCGCAGAGAACTTCTTTTATTGGCATGCTTTATGTTGTCTGTATTAACCCAGAGTGGAGAGATTTGTAAAGGCGGGCAAGCAGACGGAGAAACTTAATTTTGTTTTCTGCATTATTAAAATCCATGCGAGTTATGTTGATAATTCAATAAGATGATATAAAATAAGGAGTATTTTCCGACCTACAAAGTAAACAGCCTACGAAGATTTCTCTCTTCTGGGTTGTTACGCCGTGTAGTTTGGTCGATGTTTACCAACGTTTCAGAGGTCATACTGCCTACGTCATCAGGGCAATATTCATCGCCCTGATGACGGAGGCAGTATGACCTCTGAAACGTTGGTTAACATAGGCCAGACTACACAGCGCAACAACCC